TTGCAATCAAAATGAGAAAAGTATACACTTTTGTTAAAAACAAAAGAAACTCAAGAGCATTAGACTGCAACAATACTGAAAATATACATACTGCAATAAATGGTTGTTTACATTCACAACAATTTGAAGATGTAGACACTCTAAATACTCAATGTTACATTTATTTTTCATGCGTTATGTCTTGGATATTTTTATAACAAACTTATTTTAACAGAATCATCAACTCAAGTGTAGTGAAATAATATGAATACATTATACACACACGTTTCCCAAACAAAAGAGAAGAACAAATCTGAACTTGTAGAAGAGTGAAACATAAGACCCACACAGAAGGTTTCTTGGTGTCAGCTGAATTCTGAAGGGGTTCAGCTTAAGCATATCATTTCTCAGAATCCAGAGACCGTCTTTTCAGCAAGGTTACTGGAACTAACAAAGGATTGAGAGGACAGGTGCCAGCCGTAGCCCAGTCTTTGTCCTTTGCTGGTTGTGTGACAGACTCAGTGGAGAATCTAGTAGTAGTCCTACGTTTCTGTCTTAATACAGTAGGATCAGCTACATTCGCACATGGGATGTTTGAAGAAGCAGCTGTTTTTGAAAGCTGCGAGTGTAACTGGAGGAGGTGATGTTGAAGTTCCTCACAGTCCAGTAAGGGGAGCTCCTCAGGCAAACACATCAGCATATCCAACAGCACTGCACTCTCTGAGGACATATCAGAAGGAATGTGCAAAAATATGAGAAAAATAGAGATCTTTTCACGTAAGTATAACAGATTGGTTCACCCAGAATTAAAATGATGTCATTATTTATTTACCCTCATGTCCTTGCCACATGATCGGCTGACTGACTTATATGAAAGTCAAAGTTAATGGGGTTCAAAAACAACATTGATCCTCATTGACTTTCATTGTAATCTTTTTAAAGACAAAACAAAGGATGTCATACAGGTTTGGAACGGCATGAGGGTTGTTATAATGAGACATTTTAAACTGGGTTTAAGTTGATTAAGCTGAACTTCCACATTCCTGGGACAATGTGTAAAATGGCCATGAAGAGTATAATTAATTTCACTTTTTTATATTGTAATAGAATATTCTACATAAAATGTATCATAACAATACATACCCATTGAAGTAAGGGATAAATTGCCGGCTGTAGAGCCAACGCCACTTAAATATTTATAAATCTTGTCAAAATTCATAACACACTTCAGCATTCTTGGTTTGGATGATACGTTATCATGATCTAAAAGTCCCAATCGAACTGGATTGTGTCTATTTGAGGAAACTGATGGTGACACTGGATCAGTGGAAACAGGACTGGACACTGTTGGTTCTGCTTCTGGTTGTAGTTGGCTTGGGCTTCTTATCATCTGTGAGGATGTTGGGGTCTCAGGTGTCTTAGGCACTACAGGTGAATTGCTTGATGCATTATCCAATTTGCTAATATGGTCAACAGCATTAGAACTAGAGTCAGGCTGAATAAGAGATGCAGCTGAGGTAGTGAAAACGGCAGGATTTGGGCTCCTGCCCGAGGCGGAAGGCTGAGAGGGGGTTTTAGGGGACTGAACTGGGTAAAGTTTGGAGAAAGCAGGTGTTCGGCTGGTGGGGTGTGGAGGTTCAGAGTGCATCAGGCCACATGGCTCTGTCGCAGAAATCACAAGCATCTGATGACGGAGAAAAAAATAAACAGAAATGATTAGCATTTTATCCGCTTTATGGTGATAAAAGGCAATAAATCAGTAAAATACAGTATACTGTTTGTCATAAATGAGAATCGTACGAGACAGTATACTGTTTGTCATAAATGAGAGTCGTAAGAGATCAATCATTGACAGAATCAATTCCTGAACTTACTTACTTGTGGTGCATGAATGTAACACACCTGTATCATTGTAGTTCAAAAGTATCATAAGTAACACAACAACCTTACTGTCAAATATAAACATTATCCATCATTATTTGTCTACTCCTTATTTGTAATACTGTCTAAGAAATGTCAAACCAGTTCGCCCCTCACAAGCTCAATAAAAATGTGTATGAAATTATTGTTTTTGTGTGGTGTTCGGTGCATTTCCACATTCAAATGTCAAATACAGACCTGGGAAAAGGCAGAGGAAATAGTTTTCTCATGAGATCTGGACATTTTCTGAACCAGCTCTGCCCAGATTTCAATGGGAACCTTAGTCTTGCGATACTCCCTCCTCTGACTGTGAACCTGAAGATAAATCTTCTGCAGCATACGTGACTTCAGGGACTTTATCAGGTCTTCAATCTAAAACCAAGCAGTAATTGCATTACAATGGACATGTGCATGTTCATCCGGCTTAATCTGTTTTGGGTGATGGCAATGGGTTTACCTCTTTGAGAGATCGTCTGGGAACTTTCTTTTGAAGCTCAGTCAGATCTAACTCTGATTCAAAATTATTCTGTAGTTTCAAAGCTTGCAAAAAGCTTTGTAGATCTTTGCGAGCCCATCCTTTGCAGAATGATTTGTCTCTCACTGTCTGTTTTTGCTCAATGCTCTGAAGTAGAAAGCGTGACGGTTCAGTTCGCTGACGAAATGGAGGTTTCATAGTTGCTGATTAGATAAAAGTTGTCTTCAATGTATCTTGATATGCCTGTTGTATAAAAAAGACAATGTTCACATTTAGTATTTAAAAACTACCCATTAAGCTTCAATAAACTTTGTGCAGGAGCACAAAATAATGGGAAAGCAACATTTTATATTAATATACTGTAGCCACAAGTGGCAATTATCAGAGTGATGATCAGTGATCAGTAATCTAAATGAAATGTATCTTATGGACTAGTTTTTCTAGCAAACTCCATATTGACTCTTTACTGAAGTTAGGGTCTGATCTGTGTGGAGAATTTGTGGACAAACATTCAAAATTTTACATTTAAAAGGATGTCACAGGACAATTTCAAATGAATGTGAAGGTACCTTCGGTGCTTGGAGTCCTAAATATCAATGGCTTATTTATTTCTCAAACTATAAATTACATTCCTTTAAGAAGGACTTGAAGAGGAACCTTTCAATTTCAACAAGAAAAGCTTTGTTTTCAAAGAATCTATGTGGAGCAAATTCTCTTTAAATTCTGTTGTATGTCCCATCAAGGTTTAGTTATATTTTGGTATGTTCTGCACCTGAGAAACTAACTTAATGGTCATTTTAATAGAGTTAATTACGGGAATGTATATGAACATCAAAACAGGTTACAAATGCCCCAATAACCTCACAACGAATATTTTCAATCTTTGTAAAGTGCGCCAGAATGCTGAAAAACATGTTGTCCCAGCTTTCCTAAAGCCACTGCTTATATATACATATCTACATTGCACCAGCGGATTTAACACCACATTAAATATTTCCAATAAGTAAGCTGTATGACAGCGCTTGACCAACGGACTATTCATTCACTTAATTTACACAGTTTTAAGGAAGGACTGCACGGTAACCATCAAATAAAATTACTTGCAAAAATCTAGATGGAAAGTCAAAAGATAAGAAACTTCCGTAACTTACTGGGCGAGCGGGTTGCTGAAGGGGCAGTGCCATTTAGAGGGGGTAACGTAAGTACCCGTATCTCACTACGAGCCACTAAGAGGCTCAAGAAACACGAAGCTGAAATGCGTTTTCACGTGACCGATTGCACGGGCTTTTCTGGTTTATTATATCTAATTCAAAATATACGTTATAAATCTATAAATTTAAAATTTAATGAATAAAAAAATATTATAAAAGACTTAAGCGGTCGATTGCACTCACTTTCGTTTATACCGGTTTATTGTGATAGAGTTTGCAACACTTGTCGTTTGTGAAACACACCACCAGAGACCGCTCAAACTTTTCAAACGAAAACGAATTTCTCATTGCAGTAATTTTAATACAAGTTACTCTCGGTATTTTTCTAACGTTAAACCTGTTATGGTGACAAAAAGACCTGAAATATATAATTTTTGTAAACCTTGACCAACCTAAAATCAATTTATCTTAATCTGGATTTTGTTTCACCCACATGCAATATGATAGATCTATTTCCGCAACTAAAGTACGGTAAAGTACTTCCGCCTTTGATGGAACCACTGAAGCCACAAATTACATTATATTTCATATCCAGCTCCGCCTACCCTACATGTAGGCATTCAGACATTTTTACTTGTCATGAGAAATGTAAATGGTATATATATTATTACGCCTGCTGTTAGATGTACATTCAAAAGCATTGGCAGCGGTGGGATTCGAACCCACGCCCCCGAAGAGACTGGAGCCTTAATCCAGCGCCTTAGACCGCTCGGCCACGCTACCTAGTACGTAATTGTATTAAAAAAGGGTTTCAGTACTTTCTCACTTCGTATCGTAATTATTGTCTACATTTTGACCAATTTTGTAACTAACGATTAAATTATAACTCCCGTTGTTATTGACCACAAATGTAGTCATATGACGTTTTCACTGTTTTTTGTGAACGATATACCCCGCGGGTGGGGTGGTGATGGTGCAGTGGATAAGATACATACCTTTGGTGTGAGAGACCCTGGTTCGAATCCACTGGAGACACCAATGTGTCCCAGAGCAAGACACATAAACCCAACCCTAATTGCTCCAGAGGCATGCAACCTCTGACTTGAATAGCAATTGTAAGTCACTTTGGATAAAAGCGTCTAATAAATGTAAATGTATAACGTGAACACCAGAAGCACTGAGGTCACCCTTCAACTGGCTCCCCTTTTATTATATTTGTCTATACTGGGTATTTTAATGGTAAATAGCCTACTATCGAAAATGAACACAGTGACATGCTTTAAGCTATTACATATAACAATATAGCCTACATACATATTCAAAATGAATTCATAAGCTACGGCATTCTTGATATGGCCTGCATTACCTTTAAGATTAAATCCTCCACATGAGCATTGCAAACAAATCCAAATTAAAACCCGGAATCATAATTGAAAACAAAACGTAGACCGATATAATAAGTGTATAAACAGACAATTAAGAAAGATAAATTAAATTGCAAAAGGAAGCATGACATGTTTTTATAAAAAATGGCATGAAATGCTTGGTAAAGATGTAGGCCTAAAGAAGGTTGTCATGGAGATTGGTTCAATTCTGTGGTGATTATGACCTCTGCTGGTGATTGCGTGACATGATTTTACAAGATGATGGATGTGTGAACGTCTCAGAACTGAGGTTGTTTCTGCAAAAACTGAGAGATGACAAGACGTTTTAGTGATTGTTTGGATAAAACAAATTAAATCAATGTATATGCCATGACTGTTTTTGGATATTTTATTATTTCAGAAAACATGTTTGATTTCAAACGGGAGAATGAAAATTTTGTCATAAGTTGTTATAGTATTTTACTGACAAAGTAAAAAAAGAAACAAACTATTACCTAAACACAGTTCTTGCATCGGAATGCCTTGTCATGTTCAAGGCCATTGTCCCCGTGTTTCATGTACAACATATGGTGCATTTAATCCAAACGTCAGCCGTCTAAGATGAGACAAGACAAGGCCAAGCAAGTCAAATTGATTTACACAATGAATGTCAGGTTAGGAATTGTATTTTTATGATCACGCTTACATAAAAAAAAGACCAAATAAAGATTAAAAGAAAAGTGATTTTAAGAAAGTCTGATTCAGTAAATCTAAATATATCACATCATATGTTTCTATTTTATAACCTTAAGAGGATTTGCTACAGCAGACTTATGCACATGGTTAAAAACCACATCTGTCCAAATATAACATGACTCCTGAAATGAGTATCTACTATCTGTATAGTTTAACATGAACTTAAAGTTGATTTTCCATAATGGACGAACGTACACATATGATAAAGATGATTATGTTTAAAAATGACTAACAGCCGGCAGTTAGCTACCATTTACTTTCATTTACTTTTCCATTAACGGTAACAATAGGTTCCTAGTTAACATTAGTTAATGTAGTAATTAACATGAACTAACAATGAACAATTCATTTGCTCCAGTATTTATTAATCTTTGTTAATGTTAGTTAATAAAAAGTACAGCTGTTCATTGTTTGTTCATGTTAGTTCACAGTGTGTTCAATTATTGAAGTCTGCCTTATAGTAGAGAGGTTAAGCGAATTTTGACTTCAAGTCATGATGCAAAGGTCCCCTTTGGTATGGAAATACCTTATGGCCATAGAAATAAATTTATCCTAAGACACAAGTGAGATCACATTTTGTTTCTTATATACACACATTTTTTTAAAAATGGCCACCAATCATATCTGAGAGGCCCATATCTTTGCTTCTGTTATAGCTATGATGACAAATTTGGTCAAGGAGTCCAATAAAGTACACAACAAAGTACACAACAAGTAACAATATCAGGAAGCAACACTGTTCATGCAAAGCTGGGTAGGTCTCTATTCACGTATGTAATCGTTATTACAAAGCAAACAGACTACACGAGTATAACGTTCTTATTTATTAGCAGCGTGTGCTAGTGCAGTGTTTCCCAACCCTGTTCCTGGCGGAACACCAACACTGGGCGTATTCTTTGTCTCTCTTATCAAACACACCTGATTCAACTCATCAGCTCATCAGATGGGTTAATGAGCTGATGAGTTAAATCAGGTGTGTTTGATTAGGGAGACAAAGAATACATGCAGGTGTGAATACGTGTTGGTGTGCAGCCAGGAACAGGGTTGGGAAACACTGTGCTAGGGTATCAACATTCAACAACCGGTATGAGAACCGAAATCATAACCTAAAACATTATAAAACGGTCTAACTAGTATAACTTCACACTCACAGTAAGGTTAGGAGTAAAAAAAAAAAGATGTGCTTGTTGATCTTTGCGGGGTTTAGCTGACTGACATCCACAGTTTCCAAAGACGACACTTGTCAGGATTTTACTTCGGTTTTGGGAAGGGAAAAAACGGACACCCCCCTCCAACCTCTCTGGGAAACACGTATCTGTCTTACAAATGCCCGAGGCACAACGTTTAACCATATTTTGGCTAAAACTATGACGGTAATAGCCTGCAGAGACCAAAAATATGAGACACCTGTGTTGAAAGTCAATGGAGCACTGTGAAAAAGTGTCCGACCTCTGTGGGAGCTCATTCTTGGCTGCGCTGTGATTGGTCAATCTACATTCTAGGGTGTGGCTTAGCCAAAGGTGAATTGCTGCGCTTTTCAAACATTCGCATGGCCAGTCACTGGGTAGGAATGACCTTGTAGTCTGCTTCCTCAGGGGAGCTAGAAGGATGAACCCTCCTCATCCCACCTCGGTTCACATATGGGACCATTCCTTGGTCTTTAAGGCCATGAAGGGTGCCCCTTTCAAACCTCTACAGTCTGTGTAGTCTTACGTATCTCTCATTGAAAACCGCCTGGCTATCACCTCAGTCAAGTGGATGGGTGACTTACACGCACTTTCTGTTAGCGCGTCGGGCCTTGAGTTTGGGCCTAATGACTACAAGGTCATCCTCAAACAAGAGTTGGTTGTGCTACCATCTGGTTTCGCTTCAGTCGATGAAAACCAAGGAGCATCCTATCAAGCTCTAGCTTGATAGGCATAAGCCACGCCCGTTCGAGCGGGACGTGACGTCTGAGGGCACCCAGCGCCCTCGTTGCTTGCTATGTATTTTCATGTATTTTTTTTTGTTTTGTTTTGTTTATATACATATATTTTTTTTCCTTGCCTAATGCATGAATTGTTCAGACATATATTTTAGTAATATTTTATTTTAATTACTATTTTGTTTTTGCGGAGTGGTGAAAATACTTCATTGCGTCGATGCTGGGTGCTGACGTCACATGGCAGATCATTGAAGAGAGAGACGTGAGCCACATGTGTGAGCTCTCGTTAATCAAATCCATCGACATTAATATTGTTCTAAATCGATGTCTGAACTGTTTCATTGTATTAGGTAAGTCACAATTGTGTCATATTTTCATAAATAATGTTCAAGTTTGTGTTTGTTCATATAAGAAAATGTGGATGGTTAATGGTGTTTGTGATTGAGTATATAGTGTGCAATAGAACACATGTAAAGCATTTATGCTGCAGTAGTATACTTGTTAAAAACTGGTTGCACATTTATGTCATGGCCCTCTATCAGAATCCAGAGTTTTGGGAAGATTGGAGAAACTTAATTTTTCGCCCAAAAAAAAAAAAAACGTAAGGGGTACCACTGTCGTTTTTTTTTCGGGCCGAATTTTTGAGTTTCGATATCTCAGCTCTGGAAGGGGCTAGAGCCTCCATTTTTGCACTCAGGTCTAAGTCTCATGGCCCTCTATCAGAATCCAGAGTTTTGGGAAGATTGGAGAAACTTAATTTTTCGCCCAAAAAAAAAAAAAACGTAAGGGGTACCACTGTCGTTTTTTTTTTTCGGGCCGAATTTTTGAGTTTCGATATCTCAGCTCTGGAAGGGGCTAGAGCCTCCATTTTTGCACTCAGGTCTAAGTCTCATGGCCCTCTATCAGAATCCAGAGTTTTGGGAAGATTGGAGAAACTTAATTTTTCGCCCAAAAAAAAAAACGTAAGGGGTACCACTGTCGTTTTTTTTTTCGGGCCGAATTTTTGAGTTTCGATATCTCAGCTCTGGAAGGGGCTAGAGCCTCCATTTTTGCACTCAGGTCTAAGTCTCATGGCCCTCTATCAGAATCCAGAGTTTTGGGAAGATTGGAGAAACTTAATTTTTCGCCCAAAAAAAAAAACGTAAGGGGTACCACTGTCGTTTTTTTTTCGGGCCGAATTTTTGAGTTTCGATATCTCAGCTCTGGAAGGGGCTAGAGCCTCCATTTTTGCACTCAGGTCTAAGTCTCATGGCCCTCTATCAGAATCCAGAGTTTTGGGAAGATTGGAGAAACTTAATTTTTCGCCCAAAAAAAAAAAAAACGTAAGGGGTACCACTGTCGTTTTTTTTTTCGGGCCGAATTTTTGAGTTTCGATATCTCAGCTCTGGAAGGGGCTAGAGCCTCCATTTTTGCACTCAGGTCTAAGTCTCATGGCCCTCTATCAGAATCCAGAGTTTTGGGAAGATTGGAGAAACTTAATTTTTCGCCCAAAAAAAAAAACGTAAGGGGTACCACTGTCGTTTTTTTTTTCGGGCCGAATTTTTGAGTTTCGATATCTCAGCTCTGGAAGGGGCTAGAGCCTCCATTTTTGCACTCAGGTCTAAGTCTCATGGCCCTCTATCAGAATCCAGAGTTTTGGGAAGATTGGAGAAACTTAATTTTTCGCCAAAAAAAAAAAAACGTAAGGGGTACCACTGTCGTTTTTTTTTCGGGCCGAATTTTTGAGTTTCGATATCTCAGCTCTGGAAGGGGCTAGAGCCTCCATTTTTGCACTCAGGTCTAAGTCTCATGGCCCTCTATCAGAATCCAGAGTTTTGGGAAGATTGGAGAAACTTAATTTTTCGCCCAAAAAAAAAACGTAAGGGGTACCACTGTCGTTTTTTTTTCGGGCCGAATTTTTGAGTTTCGATATCTCAGCTCTGGAAGGGGCTAGAGCCTCCATTTTTGCACTCAGGTCTAAGTCTCATGGCCCTCTATCAGAATCCAGAGTTTTGGGAAGATTGGAGAAACTTAATTTTTCGCCCAAAAAAAAAAAACGTAAGGGGTACCACTGTCGTTTTTTTTTCGGGCCGAATTTTTGAGTTTCGATATCTCAGCTCTGGAAGGGGCTAGAGCCTCCATTTTTGCACTCAGGTCTAAGTCTCATGGCCCTCTATCAGAATCCAGAGTTTTGGGAAGATTGGAGAAACTTAATTTTTCGCCCAAAAAAAAAAAACGTAAGGGGTACCACTGTCGTTTTTTTTTTTCGGGCCGAATTTTTGAGTTTCGATATCTCAGCTCTGGAAGGGGCTAGAGCCTCCATTTTTGCACTCAGGTCTAAGTCTCATGGCCCTCTATCAGAATCCAGAGTTTTGGGAAGATTGGAGAAACTTAATTTTTCGCCCAAAAAAAAAAAACGTAAGGGGTACCACTGTCGTTTTTTTTTCGGGCCGAATTTTTGAGTTTCGATATCTCAGCTCTGGAAGGGGCTAGAGCCTCCATTTTTGCACTCAGGTCTAAGTCTCATGGCCCTCTATCAGAATCCAGAGTTTTGGGAAGATTGGAGAAACTTAATTTTTCGCCCAAAAAAAAAACGTAAGGGGTACCACTGTCGTTTTTTTTTCGGGCCGAATTTTTGAGTTTCGATATCTCAGCTCTGGAAGGGGCTAGAGCCTCCATTTTTGCACTCAGGTCTAAGTCTCATGGCCCTCTATCAGAATCCAGAGTTTTGGGAAGATTGGAGAAACTTAATTTTTCGCCCAAAAAAAAAAACGTAAGGGGTACCACTGTCGTTTTTTTTTCGGGCCGAATTTTTGAGTTTCGATATCTCAGCTCTGGAAGGGGCTAGAGCCTCCATTTTTGCACTCAGGTCTAAGTCTCATGGCCCTCTATCAGAATCCAGAGTTTTGGGAAGATTGGAGAAACTTAATTTTTCGCCCCAAAAAAAAAAAACGTAA